TAGCTGAGGGTATTTCGAGTTTTGTTGTTTGGGAGGGAGCGAAGTGCATGGGGGAGGAGTTGATTTTGTGTATTTGCCTACTACACAGACGCTCTCTCCAGCCGGAGAGAAAACATAAACAACTTGGGGCGTAGACGTGCAAAGGAAAAAGGCCCTCTTTCACTTGGATCATCGAAGATCCAGACAACCTTTTTTATCTTTGTTGATGAGATTTTAAAAAGCAACGAAATATTAACGTTCACAAGATAGTTGTCTGACACTTGAGCCGCTCGCACTTTTTGATGATCATTAAGATTTAACCCAAACATAGGTGAGCAGATAGCTTTAACATAGATATTCCAATCAATGTTGAGTTATTCAGGGCTCACTATGAACCTGCGGATGTGGGTGCCATTCTTGCGATGATTGACGTTGTTCCGCACTTGAACGAATCTTGTCTAAAGAAAGATTACTTTTACAATTCGGCCAAGATTACCCTTTAATCTACAGCTCTTTTAGATGGTTGTGTGTTGTGTTGCATGCTATTCATAGGGAATATATGGACGAACTTTACGCAAAACTGGATTTGGCAAAAGAAGGGCTGCAAAAGCTTGAACAAACTTCTGATAGGAACGCTGCAGTGACATATCAATATTGTGAAAATGTGCGGATTTTTAGGAATTGGAGAGTAGCGAATCAACATCATCAGAATTACCAACGGATAACAGCAAAAAAGGCACAATTTCGGTAATGCGATTTGTCAAGATGGACAGCAAAGGGTAGATATATGGAGAAAAAATGGACAGCAAAGGGTAGATATATATAAAGGGTAGACATGGAGAATAAATGTCGTGGGTGGTGAGAGGAGAGTGACCGAAGGGCGAAGAGTACCATAGGATAAGTGCCTACCGTACACTAGCTTGCCGATCGATTTGTGTGAAAATTTCCTTTTGATTTTTTTTGTGATTTTTTTTTGTGATTTTTAATATACATTTCAGATGTTTTCTTTTGATGCCAATGTAATGTACCAGATGATTTGTGGATTTTGGCGAGGTCGAGCTCAAAAGTTAGATTTAGGTCGTAAAACTCATTGCACTACCGATCTTTGACTCTGGAAAACTTTTTTCACGCTGATCAGATTTTGATGTTTGAATACGCAAAAAAATGCGTCATGGATCATGACGCTAGCTCAAAAAATAGCAATAGGCTTTAGCAATAGTTTAGGCTAGCTAATAGAATATTTTTCATGAATGTTCCTGGATAGCCCATCAATTCAGTTTTCGACTCCGACCCCGTATGGATAAGCTAGCTTCATTAGGTCAAAAGATCTTGATCACCTTCTATAAATAATGAATTTTTAGAGAATTTTACCAGCATATTGGTATTCTAGTAGACCATTATGCCAAGAACTTTGGATTCCCTAAGAATCTAGAGAATTCATTAAAAATTCAGTGAACTCACTTTTTAAAAAACTCTTTAAAAATTCAAGAAATTCACTGAATTCTTAAACCTCTGTTTAAATAGAATGTCGAACCTCTGTTTGAATAGAATGTCTACTGATTGTCCACTGAGCCTCTACTGTATATAAGAATCAAAAACAGTATTAGGTTACATCGTTTCAGATATGCGATCGGCGTCTCGAATTGTTCTAATGATTATGATGATCGGGGATGTACGGCGATTCGAGAAGAAGAGGCGCTCAAATCGATCGAAATATTGCAGGTTGGTGATCGAATTATAAAAATCATTCTATTTAGTATTTGGCTATCGAAAAAAGAGCAACAAACCGTTTCTTAACTAAAAAGCACGTTTTGCACTTATCAACTGGCAAGCTGCGAAAAACATTATAATATACAAATATTTATAACCCACACTCAAAGTTCAGTCAAACCGTCTATGTACTCACTTTTTCTATTGATTATAATTTCGCATCAAAAGACCATTCCATCAAAAGACCTTTAACTCTAAAGATTTTTTAAATAAGAGATTCTTGGAGTAAAAGTAGTAAATTAGATGCAAATTCACTGATTTTATATGCAAGATCGGTGGATTCCTTCCGAAGGGCTCTTTTCACCAGCGACTAATGGGATGAAAAGTTTCATTTAATAACAAATTATCAATTTTACATGCCAAATCCTTTACCTCAAAAGTTCCTTACCTCAAAAAGAGGATCAAAAGACCATTAAAGGCTTAACTCTTAGAACCTCTTAGTTCAGGAAAATTTTCATCATCCTTATATACGGACCACGTATATTTAGTCCCTAAATATTTCTAGCTTTTTAGCTCTCTTTTTAGCTTTTTAGCGCAATATTCAAACCGTTCAAGCGTTTCCACCATCATCACCATCACCCGCCTCACGCACATCAACCGCCCCAATTTGTCCCACAAGCAGTCGCCTGTCCTAATTCCATGGCCACAATTGTTCGTTTAGCCGGCCTAATTGGAGCAAGTGCGGTCATTCTTGGTGAGTTATGAGCAGAGAAAAGAATGCATCAAGATCTAAAGGTCAATTTAGCATCATCATGTCAGGGTTGTTCCAAAACCAAAGCCAGGACCAGGTTCTGGCTTTGGTTCCAAAGCCAGGGCTGAGCCTGTCTTGGCTTGGCCTGGTTCCAAGTTTACTCGGTTGGAATGTCCCTGGTCATGTATAGCCTTTGGTCCAAATGGGTCATTCTAGAATTCTAAAAAATACCACAAAAACTTCTCCAGGAGCCTACGGATCACACGTATTGCGAGATCAAGTGGACGAGCATCGGAAGAAAGCCTTTGACACCGGGTCGCGCTATCATTTACTGCATTCGGTAAGTCGGAAAGGCTAGTCTTTACAGCTTTTGCTTCAGCATTTTGAGTACTTACTACATACCCGCGTAGTACCGTACTTCCGTACTATATCTAGTGCCAGATGCGTATCCAAGGGAAGACCAAGGGATACAGGATCTGCCTAGTACCGTAATATCATACGGGCAACGGCAGTTATCTACGTAGATAATCCGGCTATCGCACTCAAATCACTGCCGTACACTGCGTAGGTATAAGGTAATGTTGTGTCATCTACAGCTCTGGCTACCGTTTGCAAGCACCGTACACCAAGTTCCAGGTGGCTTTGCTTGGCGCTCGTCAGGCTCGTCACCCTCTACTAACCGCTCTTCTCTTCTCGGCCGGCATCATTCTCTTCTGTGGCCCCTGCTATCATTACAGTGTCACCGGCGAGGAGAAGCTTCGGAAATTCACGCCAACCGGCGGTACTTTGTTTATCCTCGGCTGGTTGTCGTTCATTTTGTAAAGTTTCTTGTAAGTTAGATTACTGTAGGCATGCCATAGAATAGCCAGGTCAAGCCAAAAATTGAATCATTTGTCAATTCATTTGTTATTTGTTCGAATCTCTTCCTCTACAAGTGCTTTAGAACACTTCTTATACAAGTGCTTGCATGTTACTTAATAATATGTAAATTAGTAATGTAGATTCGTATGCTAATTTAAATAATCCACACACATAATTGTGTAATCACCATTATTTCTAGAGTTAAAAATCGACTTTCAGAAGCAAACGTGAAGCCTTTTTCGACGAGTTTTACCCGGCGACAATCTGGGATAACGGTTTACCCTATGAGTTGCACGGATCGCTTTGTTCATTTTCTAACTCAATTTATTAGTTTTTTAAACTTGACAAACTTTCGCGAAATTGTAGAACATCGATTTCTCGACGGCCTCGTTGTTGAGGGCAACATGGGAGTCACGATCGTAGCGGGATTGCTCGTGGAAGACGCCGAGTGCATGGGCCAGCTCGTGCGATGTGACGCCGAACTGGAGATCGAGGGAGTTTGCTTAGTTGGTAAGTTCAAATAATTGGAATTCGCTTTGTCAATTAACTGATAGTGAGCTCACTTTGTAGAAGCCGAAACTCTCCTCTCTTTTACACAATGAAAGCTGTTTTAGAGCTGTATCTTTTGGATTTAATTTCACCTTTGGTACAAAACCTCGAATGTTGCAAGCAAAAATGAAATTACGATTGCACGCCTAGCGATTACCAACTAGAAGCTGCGAAAGACTTATCTAAAGATGAGATTTTTTGACAGAATCAAATCAAATCGATTGTTAGAGCTGCTGTAAAGTAAATAGAGAAAAATAGATCTTCCATTATTTCCGTTGAACTCGATTCAATCGTGAACAAGTTGAAACTCGCTTTTTTAAACGGTCAACAGAAGGCAGGGAGGATTTTATCTTAGATTGGCAATATGAATGGGTAGATCGTAGGTAATTTTTTTGAGGCTTGGATTTCCCGGCATCGAATCGAACTGGTTTTTTTCAAAATATGGCTGAAACTACGCTACATCTAAAAAATGTAGAACCCTCCACTTAGACGCGTTTTAAGTATTGGCACCTTGCAAAAACAACAGTAAATTTAATAGTCTATTGGCCCTCCTTTGGCTTGAAAAAAAAACTTCTCAAAAGTGCGAGGTCAAAATTTCACGCACGTGTTCGCCGCCCAGAAGCGAATCGCGTGCATCACCGAGAGACGGGCTTTCATCGCTGAAAGTGCCTTTTGGTTGTTGTGTCTGGAGCTTGATCAATTTGAGTTTAAACACCTTGCACTTGTTTTTATAATTGAATAAGTAATTGAAAGGTACCCTTAGACCGATTCGATTAGATTTCTCTTTTTTCTTTGTCAATTTTGAAACTCACAAAGCGATCCGTGCAACTCATAGGGTAAACCGTTTTCCCAGATTGTCGCCGGGTAAAACTTGTCGAAAAAGGCTTCACGTTTGCTTCTGAAAGTCGATTTTTAACACTAGAAATAATGGTGATTACACAATTATGCGAAAAGCGATTTCTTTGACCTTCATTGCTTTGAAGCACGTTTTTTTATTATCTGGAAGTCTGTAAAACTGAATCGTTAAAACGAAACTCACCATTTTCCCCTTTTTTCTAACTCACCGATGTCCGTTTGTCGAATAATTAACGATTTTAGCCAGTTGCTCTTCGGAAAGCACCATGTCTCCATCGTAGAGGACACTGCTGAAATGGAAAATGCGGTAAGTGTGGTAGATTGGTAGACTCAATAAAATGAATAGCGCCAATCGATTCGCCGACCCCGAAAACCCTCGGGTACAAATTTACAGCTAAATATCTTTTTCCATCAACAAATCAAAAGAGAAATGTAAATGATGACAATGTGCGATTCTTTGTGCGGCCGAGTAATCGCTCGCCGTCTGGCACACCCTTCTGATTGGTGTCTTTTGAATATCTTTATATATCAGTTGCAAAGCCATCTTTTCTACAACATTAAATCTACGATCAATTAGTGAATTGCTATAAGTATTTGTTCTTTTACCCAAAATTCAATATTTATTCACTGCAGAATTGCAGGTTTCAAAGTGAAGTGGATAAGATAGACAAATCTGATATTAATGTCAAATTTTTTTGGCGGTGGGGGCTTGCCTGCCGGCTTGCCAAACACGAAATCTCACAATCCGGTAGACTCAATAAAATGAATGGCTTCAATCGATTCACCGACCCCGAAAACCCTCGGGTACAAAAACCCTCGGCCACTTTCACGAAATTTCACGAAATTTCACGCACGTGTTCGCCGCCCAGAAGCGAATCGCGTGCATCATCGAGAGACGGGCTTTCATCGCTGAAAGTGCCTTTTGACTGTTGTTCTGGAGCTTGATCAATTGAGTTTAAACACCCGGTTTTGTTTTGTTTTGTTTTTCGATTAGATTTCTTTTTTTTGTTTGAAACTCACAAAGCGATCCGTGCAACTCATAGGGTAAACCGTTTTCCCAGATTGTCGCCGGGTAAAACTCGTCGAAAAAGGCTTCACGTTTGCTTCTGAAACTTTCTACACAATTATGTGTGTGGATTAATCTTATTTTTTAATTTTTTTTTTAATTAGTTTTTAATCTTAAAAAATGGTGAACATGTTTGACACAGGCCGCGCTGCGAGGCATTTGGGTCTACCAAAACATAGCTTACAAGTTTGTCTACAAAAAACAGTCACAGATACTAAGTTTGTTGTTGAGCTATATTTCATTTATTACCTTCTTCAAGTACAACTCAACAAGGAACCAACACCATTTTAACTGGGTTCTTTTTTTTTAACCACCCCAAGAACACTACCCCGACACCCTTTTATATCTCCACGGAAAGACTTTTTGATATTTGGAAATCTCAATTAGTGATCTTTTTAGCTGGAAACGAAAGGACGAACAATTTGCTGGAAGACGTTTACAGGGACTCTAAGGAGATTTGCAAGAAGGTGAACGATTTCAAGGGATAATGGTGATTGATTTGTTTAGGTCTTCGAAAAGCACCTCTTCGATCCCGCAGATCAAAGAGGAATCTCAAAATAGGTGGGATTGAAATCGATCAAAACATAGCTTACAAGTTTCAAATTTAGTAATCAGATTTAGTTCTACGAGTGCTCAAAATAATGCTAATTCATCATTTTCAGGCAAATATTCGCCCTGCGGGAGCTCTGGCGTTGGGGGGACACGACGGCGAGAAATCAAGACGAATCACTGGGCTACGTTCTACACATGATGATTCATATTGCTGAGGTGGGATAATTAAATTGAATTCAGGTTTAACTCACTGTAATGATCGATGTTTACAAGTGCTTTAGTCTCTTCCTCGTGACATGCAAGGAATCTTGGCGTGCTGCTCACCGGTACCGCACCCACTGAAAGAACATTTGTTGCTTATTCACAGGTTAGTCGTATTATTGGTTCAACTTATTGTTTTAAACTTTTAGGATTATTTTGGAGGCTCGAGATCGCGGGCTTGAGGTGGTGGAAACGGCAAAAAAGGTGGTTGCGGAGGGCGAGACTTTGGCCGCAATGCGAAGCCGACAGCAACAAAGCAACCAGATAAATCGATAAACTGTCATCTAGAGTAAAAGGTTGGAGGGATCTTTCTGAAAATTTGGTAACTTATGTAATTGAGTGTGCTCTATCTTTTTTATATAAACACCAAAGGAGGTTTATGTGGAAGAAACTGTTCAAGCAATCCAATTTAGACTTGTCAGCTTAATGTCACTTTATGTGGGGCGTGTCTGGGCAATACAAGATTTTCTGTTTCAGTCTTTTTGCAGTCACTTTTCTCATTGCTCCAAAACATTTAGAATTAACGTATTTTTAATGGGTTTTCAAAGTTACCGCCAGTAATTTATTTGAAATTTTCAGTTTCAAAAAAAGGCTAGCTCTAAAAAGGGAAGGAAAAAGCAGGAAGAAAGAAAAAGCAGAAAGCAAATCCAAAATCCCAAATTTGGTGTTGGGCAATAGAATATTGGACCACTAGTTTCGCAATGTGCTGCGCTACAACTCCAAATCTTGGATTTTGGGATTTTGCTTTTGGTTTTTTTCTTTTATTTCTGCTTTTTCGCATATCCTATTTTAGAGCTAGCCTTTTTTTTGAGAAAAAAAAAAAAAAAAAAAAAAAAAAAAAAAAAAAAAAAAACCCTAGGTGTAAAGGGGGCCTTTCATTTTCAGACCACTCCCCGCAGAAATGATGCACTACGCCCGGGAGGACACTCACTATTTACTCTATTGCTATGATCTGCTACGGGAAAGACTTGTTTTTGCTTTGAAATCCGTGTCATATTGTAACTATTTTTATTTGAAAATTGTAATCATAGAACAATAAAATTTGATTGCCATGAAAAAGCACGCCTCACTTTTCACTGATGCTATCGTCGATCACATTTCACACATTCACACGTGACAATGTCCTCAAACGGTGTATTCTTTGATAACGATTCATCACAGAAGTCCTCGCATACTCATTCGCGAATTTCCCCCATTCGACTTTCCCTTCGCTATTCCAAATTTCAAAATTACGGCGGGATTGCTTCATTGATCTGACTAAATCGATTTGGAAAGTCCAAAAGTTGAAACTTGAGTTTTTCATTGTTAAAAACTCGATCAAATGCTAAACTTAAAGCTTTTCAAAACTGGATGACGCCAATGGAAACTTCATTGGTTTTATTGACTAATGATTGCCATTCTTTGACCAAAACCAACTTGAAACTCAGCATAATTAGAACACTGTTCTTTCTTCACTTTCTTAATAATTATTTTTTCCTAGCAGTTATCGGAAAAAATAGAAAAAGAGAAATTTGACAGATTTTTGATTCATTTTTAGGCAAGAACCTTTGTAAATCGGTAAAAAAAGGTCTGCTTTAATTTTTAAAAGCTTTTCAACCTATTATCGTCGTTGGAATGCTAGAATCCGGTGGTGTCAATGTCTTTTCTCACCCTCTCCGCAAAATCTTCACTTCTCTCTTCTCGAGAGAATTCTGAAACGGTAGGGGGACTCGGAAAGAGTGGAAAGGATGAAAAGATGTACAGAAAGACCAGGGTCCAGGGTGAGGGTTGGGGTAGGGTACAGGGGAAAGAGTACAGGGGGAAGAGTACAGAGGTTCTAGGGTCTACAAGGGGTACAGGCTAGGGTAGGGTAGGGAAGTGCAGTACAGAGAAGGGATAAGGCCCAACTAGGGTAGGGTACTATGATTGAAAGCTGAAAGGGATATAGGTAGGGTACAGGCATACGGGGTATTACGGAGAGTACAGGGGTTCAGAGGTCGCCCAAGAGTCCAGAGTGGGGGCAGGGGTTGGGTAGGGGTAAGGGTTGGGGTTAGGGTAAAGCCTGCACAGGGTAAGAGTCCAGGCTGAACTAGGGAACAGAGGCCCAGGGGTCCCCAAGGTGCCCGTGGCCGGACCGTCGGATGACTTTTTCTTGCACTGATCCCCCTCTTCACCTCTTCTCCGACTACTGCCACCGTTGGGAATCGTTGGGAAAAATCTTGAACAGGCAAACGAACCAGCAGAGCAAATGTTCAGTAATTTAAAAATGACGATTTTCAATCTGATGTGTAGGATAGCTTGTGCCTTTTCGACAATGCTTCTCGGCTGCTACATGTTTCTACTACAGAATCTGAATACCCTAAAAAAATAGAAATGAAAATAACCAATTTGTTAGCGAGGATCCAGAACAACTACACTAACTTGTAAATGGTTTGTTTTTCTTGAAGCAGATAGTCAAAGAGCTCAAAAGCATCAATTCTACTTAAAGAATCGTTAAAATTTCAAAATTAAAAATTACTTTCCCTTATTGTTTTTCCTTGCCTTTTCCCACCCTTTCTCATACTCATTCTCCATTTCCCCCGTTCGATTTCCCTTCGCCATTCAACGAGGCGGAGTGACGATACATGAAGAAGGCGATATGATTGTTAGATTTGTATAGGTTTGTATTTAAGGAACAGTTATTTAGATACAAATTAGCAGATAAAGGTGCTCCAGAGCAGATAAAGGTGCTCCAAAAAAAAGTCAAAGATACTAAGTTTGTTGTTGAGCTATATTTCATTTATTTAGTACCTTGTTGACTCGCTGTGTCAAGTACAACTCAACAAGGAATTCCAGACGACCGATTGGCGTGTTAGGTCTGAAAAACCTTGGGGTTTATGTTATTCCTTTTATTTTCAGACCACTCCCCGCAGAAATGATGCACTACGCCCGGGAGGACACTCACTATTTACTCTATTGCTATGATCTGCTACGGGAAAGACTTTTGCAGTGTGAGTGATTGTGGAAATCTCTCAATTAGTGATCTTAGAACTTTATTGTAGCAAATGTCGCGTATAATGTTCTTTAGACAAAATAACGTCTCTTCCCTTTTATATAAAGTAAATTCATTTTGAAAAGAAAAAGCAAAACTAATTTTCTCGGGAACGAACCCACGACTCCTCTTTCCCACTCTCGTTTTTCGTTCGCGATCGGAAAAGAAACGGCATCTCGAAATTCGATCTGGACGTCAAGGAAAGTGTTTGTGACAGACAGACAGACAGGCATACGTTTTTTCTGTTTTAGGACGAAGATTTGTGACCTGTTCATCCGTGCCACCATTCGATTGCGTCGGCGCGTCGGGATCTCGGTGGAAGATCGGAAAGCATGTAGCGACAGCGGAGAGACGCTGTAAGTCTTCTTTCTTTAGATCTCTTCATTAAAATCACAGTTTAATCAAAGGAAAAGCTTTTGTTAGAGTTCTAAAATCAATTGCGATAATCGAATTATGATAATTGCAATCTCCTGGCACCATTTCGATAATATTAGCTGATCTGTGAGTCAATTTTCACCGCAAAAATCGTGTTACAATGTTCTAAAGCCATTGTTAGTCCGTGAAAAACCGAAATACACTCCGAATGTAAACAAAAACAAAAAAAACACCAAGCCCAAAAACCCATCGAAATTTCACCGCCAACCTATCAATCGCCTCATCGCCAAAAGTCGCTCGCATTTTCTTCTCGATTTCCCCTCCAACTGCCTTGCCTCAATCTCTTCCGGACTCAGCGATCCATCGTGAATCTTCACCTCATCATACCCACTTCCCACCATGTTTGGTTGTGTGTTGGGAAGGATGATTTGGCCTCGCAAAACAAGCCCTTTCTAATGCGCTGATCGGGGGGCGGGGACTGAGGTGGGGGAGGAAGAGGAAAGGGAGAGAAATACTAGAAACTACGGAAGGGAGAAGAGACCTTTTTGGAGGGGGGAGGTTGGGAAAGCTGAGAGAGGAGAGAACTTTGTTTGACTCATACAGAGGTGCACTTTGTGCTCTTCGAATACCTTTAAACACATTCTTTTTGGTGCACTTAATTTCTCGCATTTCCCGTTAAGTTATTAAGAAAAGAGTAAATCGGGGAAGCTTAACTTTATAAAATAGGAATTCTAGTGAGAGAAGTTGAATCATTGACTTTAAAAATCTCTCAAAAGGGTTTTTTTCATTGTAGATGACTTTAAAGACTTACATTTGTATACTAAATAAAATTAGCTAATTAAATAATTTCAAAAGAATTTCTACCCGAAATTTGTGCCCTTAAGAGCCACAAGGCCATTTTCTTTCTACTAGATTCATTTGAAGGCGTCATTAATCGAAGAAATCGAGTTGACACTATCAAAAGTGAAACTGATTTTTTTCAGAGAACAGAGACTGATTTTTTGAGTTCTTTGAGTTCAGGTGAAAGCTTTCCTTTCCTAAGCTTTCCTTTCCTAAAGTGTACACTTTGAAACTTGGGTTTTGAAATCGCAAAAATTGCGTGAATCTTTAGGTTTTGTTCGATAAAACCAGTAGGAGCTACTAGGGATATTCTAAGAAACAACAAGCACTTTAGGGTACTGTGCTAACTGCTATATCCTAGATACGGTCTATACTTTCTTTGGTACTATGTACCGTACCCGTTTGTTCGATAAAACAGCGGCTGGCTAACAATGAAGCATTCTCCTAGAAAAATCTAGCTAAAGATTTGGTATTATGAGTTACAAAATGACTTCTCTTGTCTCTTTACTGCTCTATAACTTGCTTATCCACTTTTTTAAAGCAATTTTAAGTAATTTTAAGGCAATCTAAACATAAACATTCTTTTCTTTCTTCCTTCGGTCTTAGAAATTCCAGTCACCTACAATAAGTTTGTGTATAACTCTTTTCCAGCAAGAACTGCCAGAATTTGGAATCGACTCCCCAGAGTTTTCAGAGAGTCCAATAGTCTTAAAGCCTTTAAATCTGTAGACGATCTTGATGAAAGCTCTAGTGGATCCTTGACGTTATCTGTGCTACCCATAACATTATATCGTGTAGTTTTTTATCGGCCCTTTTCGGGTTTATTTGTATGAATTGATGTGTTTTAGTCTTAAATCTAGCACACTTTATCTCAGGTAAAGTATATATCTATCGATATATATGTTACGTCCGAATCTGAGGAGACGCCCATCTCCGATCCGGACGTCCGAATCTGAGCCGATTCATTCTCCTCTGAAACGGACGCCCGACTCAGAGATGGACCTCCTCTTCGGAGGAGAATGAACTTAGTAGAATTTAGTAGACTTGAAAAAGCACAATCACATCAATTTTACCTTTGAATTTGAAAGAAAAAGGAAAATTTGAATCTGAATACATGTGTTTTGTTCAAAACATTGGATTTTGCATTTAAACTATTTGTTCTCAAGGTCGGACATCCAATTCCGAGAAGAATGATCCTTCTCCTCCGAAACGTTTCAGAGGAGTCTCTGAGTCGGACCTCCGTTTCAGAGGAGAATTTCAGAGGGAAAATTAAAAAACACCAATTTTTTCTTCATAGTAAAGTGTTTTCTAACCACCTTTAGCTTCTGCGATTAGCCCAATTTTGTTCTGATTAACTCGAGGCTTGTGATTCCCTCAGCGAGTTTCACCAAAATTAGGCTAATTGAGGGTAAAACTGGCGGAAGATTACGGTAGTTTTGGCCGAAATTGATTGTTTGTCTGTAAGGCTTTTCTTTTAGCCTTACAGACTCAAATTGAGTGTCTGTAAGTAAGGCTTTGTCTTATAAAACCATCTTATAAAGCTGTGCTAGGGGTTTTAAAAGTACTTTTAACCAGGTCAGATCAATTTACGTCCGCATTCATTCGAATCAGTTTTCTGTCCGAGAATTTCTAATTTACTCAGCAAAGGCTACATTTTACATTTGCATTTCTAAAGATACAATTCTAAAGAATTTTAAACCGATTCTAGGATCACCACGAGGAGGATCTTTTCCTCTACATCGACTACTCCCATGAGAGTGTTTATGGGGCAGATGAGTGAATGAACGATTGAATGAATGAAGGAAAACACGAGCAAATATCGACTTAGCTATTCAATTCGAACTCTTTAAAAGAACTCTTCAACGTGTTTTTTAAGCGTGTTTTGTTCAAAACATTGGATTTTGCATTTAAATTATTTGTTCTCAAGATCGGACATCCGATTCCGTAAGAATGATCCTTCTCCTCCGAAACGTTTCAGAGGAGTCTCTGAGTCGGACCTCCGTTTCAGAGGAGAATGAATCGGCTCAGATTCGGACGTCCGGAACAGATCAACAAGAACAGAAAAAGCTTTTGGCACAGGTAAATTAATGTTCGAATTGTTTAAGTTTAGGTTTGTTTGATGTTTGGAATTGTTTAGGTTTCAAAATCTGTAAATTTATAAGCTGATAATATTTTCAGAAAGTTTAGGTACCTATTTTTGATGTAGAAAGATCTAGAAAAGACCGAGTGTAAACAAAAACAAAAATTTTCCCTCTCCCTTTCCTCTCCCTTTCCAAGCTTTGAGATCTCTTTGAGAATCGACAATTGACAAATGAGAAAAACGACAATTGATGAACGTATCTTCAGGCTTTAGCCATTATTTTGCATGAAAATTTTTACTCAGAAAATTGCCCTCCTTCACTCAATCTACAGTGAGATTCAAGTGAGCTCCAGAGTGACAATCGAAGTTTCTCATCCTGACATTCACATCAGCTTTATTTCTCCAATGACAAGCTTTGAGATCTCTTTGAGAATCAACTGACAAGCTTTGAGATCTCTACTTTTCGGTGCCGATTTTCTGCATCTTCGCCACCGATCTCTTTGAGAATCAACAAGAACAGAAAAAGCTTTTGGCACAGGTAAATTAATGTTCGAATTGTTTAAGTTTAGGTTTGTTTGATGTTTGGAATTGTTTAGGTTTCAAAAACTGTAAATTTATAAGCTGATAATATTTTCAGAAAGTTTAGGTACCTATTTTTGATGTAGAAAGATCTAGAAACTAGAGATGATGATTCATATCAATGAATTTTAGAGCACAAAGAACATCTTGACGCTCAAGAATTGAATAGATTTTACATAATTTTGGAGATTTTCCAGGTGTGAGTCAAAAGAAGACGCGTTCCTCGCATTCTTCCGTCGATTCAGCCCTTCACCATCGCCGTCCGTCGAATCTGATTGATTTCGAGTCTCGGATTGATTAGAGGATTCTTTAAAATCTAGATCTAGAAACTAGAGATTTTCGAGTTCTTTGAGTTCAGGTGAAAGCTTTCCTTTCCTAATATTTCAGTTTTGTTCTGTTCAAATGAAAACCTGAATCAAAATCTTCTTCGCCATCACATCGCGTCCCATTCCGCAGTCTCGGAACACTCTATGCTTTTCAGCTCAACTCTTTCATCAAAGCTTTCATCAAAATCTAGGCAAAAACTTTTGAAAGGAAAAGCTTTTGAAAACAAAATCTTGACCAGGTTTTGACCAGGTTAAGCTGATCTTGATAAGAAGCTGATCTTGATGAGAACACCCGCTAAGCCAACCGACCAGCGCTCCTGGAAGCAATTTTTATGTTTTTTTATGCATTTGTCCCACTCCGTCCCATCTCAAAAGCGAACTCAACCTGCAGTTTTTTATGGCTCTTCCAAAATTTTTTTTGACAGGCTACAAGATCCTCGAGAAAGGCCGACAGACAGACTACAGTATCCTCAAGAAAGGCAGAAAGGCAGACAAAAAGACAGAGAGACAGACTACGGTATCCTCCAGACAGACAGAAGTTTGTGTTTGTGCGTACCCGTCCGTTCTTCAGAGAATGTCCGTTAAAAATAGTTCATAGCACATAAGACCTGCCCCAAGATGACAACAAGTTTTCCCTGTGCTCAAACGTCTCGATCAATTCTGATGGATCTGATCTGGACATGTGATCGTAATCGAGCGTAACATATACAGTCGAACTTCAATACAATCTAATCTACAAGGAAACCTGTCAAAAATTCGTTATATGCAAGTGTACGTTATATCGAAATTCTTTGGTATAGAAATCAAATTCAGCATTGTATTTTTTGACTAATCCTCTATATAGAAGTTTCTATCACAAGCCGTCTCAAAACCCTCCGCAAAAACCATTGAATAATCAGGAGAAGTATTCATGTTTTTTAAAATAAATTTTAATAAATTTTGAAACAAAAGAATTTAACAAACCCTAATTTGAGCACTGTTTGAGCACTGTATCGACTGACTGACTTAAAGGCTTAAAAAGCAAAACCAAGTAGCACTTTTAAACGCACAAAATGGTTTCTGAGAGCCGGTTTCTGATGAGCTTGCTGGGGTTCAAAGAATTATCGGGATTCAAAGGATTCAAAGGACCAAAATTTATTTGAGCCTTTAAGACCTGAAAACGGAGTTTTTGAAATTTCTACTGTTTGACTAATGATAGCGATTCAGATCTTGACCAATCATTACTTTGGCTCAATCACATTTCAAAAACTTTGAAACATCAAATTTTTTTTCCAAAAAGTCTGCTGCAATAGCCTCAACTTCTCCATAAAGCCTTGATATTAGGTATTTGGGACTTTAGGTACAACATTGTACATGGTTTTGGATTTTCGGAGCACTAGACAATACATTTTTGACAGTACTGTACTGTACTTTACTTCTACTAGATTGGCTCAGCCAGTTAGGAGCTACTAGGGATATTCTAAGTCGATTGGAATCCTATCCGGGTACTTTCTGCGGATTTTGTCCCCCTCAGCGCGTCGTTTCTCGAAGTTGTTCTCTTCTTTGTATTGCCACTTCTCCTCAATCTCTTCCGGACTCAGCGATCCATCGTGAATCTTCACCTCATCATACCCACTTTCTCCATCCATGTTTGGTTGTGTGTTGGGAAGGATGATTTGGCCTCGCACAAAACAAGCCCTTTCAAATGCGCTGAGAATCGAAAAGAAGACGGGGAAATGAGATGTGGAAAAGAGAAATGCGGAAGAGGGGAAAGGGAGAGAAATACTAGAAACTAGAATACTAGAAAGGGAGAAGAGACCTTTTCTGTTTCCTCTAACCTGATAGAGTTGTCCCATGGTGGTCATCGCTTGTGGAATGACGTTGTTGACGACGAAGAAAAGGGCGTAAAGGAAAGATGACAGGCAAAGGGAATAATTTTGAACAATCATTACTTTGGCTCAATCACATTTCACATCAAAAACCTTGAAACATCAAATTTTTTTTCAAAATCATTTCAAAATTCAAATCAAATCAATCTCGCAAACCCGGCACGTTCGATGCTGAAGTGGCGAGAACGTTACGGCCCAGTCTTCACGGTTTGGTTACCAAAACTTTTTTGGCGATCAAATACTTTTTGATAGATTTGGTCAAAATTGGGTAAAATCGGCATTCTTATGCAATCAGATTTGAAATTGAAAAACTAAAATTGAAAAGGTCAAAAATATGGGTGGCTCCCCCTCTTCAGAAATCGTAAAAAGGATTGCCATAACGAATTCCCTGTGTTGGAAAACCCCACCATGCAAATTTCAAATTGCTTTTAACTTTTAAACTTTTAAAACTCACCACGGATGTCCTATCAGGATTCAACTTTTTATAGCTGTTTATTTATTTTTCAAATAGACGCTTCAAATAAGGAAACGGGTGAATTTGTTGAATTGGGGCAAGTAGAAAACGAGAGAATTCGGGAGTTTCGTCACCGGCTCGTAGATCGGATAGTTCTGTGAAAGATTGATTGAAGGCTTCAAATTCCATCCAAATTCTTTTCTTTCATTCCTTTATTTGCTATGGCTGTAGGCTTTGTAGTAAGTTTAAGTAAATGAGTTGGGTATTTAAAGATATTCAGCTGAACACCTTTTATTGCCTGTTTAGCCTGTTGTTTGTTTTCTTGTTTTCCCTCGAAAAACGAGTTTTTCTCTTGAAATTGTGAAAATTTCCCAATAAAATCTCAAATATTTCATAGTAAACATTTAAAAATGATTCCATCTTTTTTGCTTGCTGTCTTTGCTATTTAATTGGACGAGCAAATTTCCCCTTGACTTCAGTAAATTTGAAACAAAACTTTTTTGGCGATCAAATACTTTTTGATAGAATTGGTCAAAATTGGGTAAAATCGGCATTCTTATGCAATCAAAATTGAAATTTAACAAATCCTTTTCAGACACTTTCAGAATCTGAGGGAAGATGGGGATCCTCGAGATTTCATGGAGGCCTATTTGCGGGAAATGCGGCGACAACCCGAGAATCCGCATTTCAAGTGAGATTTCGCTGAAAATCGGCTTTTGAGGTTATTATTGTTAAACCTTTTCACATTCAAACCTTCAAAATGAGTGCAGTGATTAAATTTTGTGGCTTGATCGTCTTTTTGAATTAAGTAAAAGCATTCTTTTTAAAAGATCTATCAAATCAATAGAGAAAAAATAGGGCTGGGGATCGGGGTCGGGCTTTTTATTGGGGTGCTGGTCGAAACCTGCAACTTCAACAGTTCTTCTTGACGATCTAATTCTTTTCTATAATTCCTTTCAATCTTACGATGACAAAATGTTTCAAATGTTTCAAAGTATTCATGAATTTAAAAAAGATGGACCAATCATTACTTTGGCTCAATCACATTTCACATCAAAAACCTTGAAACATCAAATTTTTTTTCAAAAAAGTCTGCTGCAATAGCCTCAACTTCTCCATAAAGCCTTGATATTAGGTATTTGGGACTTTAGGTACAACATTGTACATTGTTTTTGGATTTTCGGAGCACTAGACAATACATTTTTGACAGCAGCTGAAATGCTAACTCGAATTCAAAACCAATCTCATTATATTATATAAAGCAGTGAGAAAAACACGATATATTACAGTACTTTGAAACACAAAAATCTTAGCTGAAGCTGAATGCTTGTACTTGAACTATTCAAGGTTGTAACTGGTTTTGAAAATAAATTGAACTTAATAAAAATAATAAAAGCTAATAAAAATAATAAAAATAATAATAAAAAGCAAAAAGCTGAATTTCTTGAGATTTCTCTTAGGCATTAAGAT